CCGCCCCCTCCGCCCCGCCCAGCCCGCAAACTGCTCAACCCTCCGCCTACCTGTGCCTCTGGTCGTGCTCGCAGTAGCGGCCGGTGAAGTGAGCGGGGCAAACGCAGAAGCTGCCCAGAACGCAGGTGCCGCCGTTCCGGCAGCAGCGCGGCCGTGGGGGCGCACCTGTGGGGGAGGCCTGGGCGTCAACTCCGCGCGCGGCCCTCTGCATCTGAGAAGCCCGTGGAGGGCCGAGCAAGATCGCCGCCGGGAGGCAATAAAATTGGCTCCCTGCTAAGAGTGTTTGCTCAGGTAAACCCTGCTTGTTAACTTAAGGATTAAAACACGAACTACCTGGGGTGCCGGCGGGTCAGGAAGGAGCCGGAGCCCTAAGACAGACGGGAAACCCTGCCCCCTACAAGTAGGGTGTTCTTTCTTTCTTCCTTTCACATGTTAAAGTTACGCTGTGACTTCCCAAGATGGTGATTAAAGACAGGCCTCTCGGGCGGACCACCCACGGGTGTGAAGAAGGCAAAAAAAATTTTTTTTTTAATTCCACCACTGCCCATCCACCCCCCGACCTCCACTGCGGACCCCCTGGGGACCAGGGGTCTGGAGCCTGAGAGTCTGCAATAAGACTAGCAAAGGTCCGCTATTATACTGGGTTGGGGTAGTTGCTTTAAATACATTAAAATCACAGTGCTCTGGACCCGCAGAAAAATACCCGTTTAAAAGCGAACGCAACGTTTTACACATAAAGTAGTAAAACATTTTTCAGAGTAAAAGAGCACCTCCCTAGGAAATATTTTTTACTTTATGAGGTATCATTATTTGAAGATGGTAAAATGTTTTGTAAACTCAGAGTTCACTGACCGAGATGACCTTTGTGGGCAGCATCGCGACTTACGCTCTCGGAAAGTCCGCGAGTAGGGCAATGAACCCTGCGGCCTCCAGCCCTCCGCGCTGTCGTTCTCCCTAAAATGATTCAAGGTCCAATCGAGTGTTTTCTGCTGGAGCTTCTGAGCTGTAGCACTGTTGATTCCTTCTCTACTACCTTTATATTTCTCTCTTTGATAGCCTTAAAAAGTTAATTGAAAATATGAGACTGATCATGATTGAGAAGCAAATATGCAACAAAAACTGAGACTATAAACAAAATGGTTCTTACTGTTTCCCACGTGGATGATCTGTAATGCCAAACTGATCATAAACAGAAGCCTAGAATATTTAAAGAAAGTTATCAAAGTTTAAAATATAAAAAAGTATGAGCAGAAATTTACATATGTATAAGATGTAATGCATTCGTATACAAATATATAAGTATATAATGTGTAGGTATATTTTTAATGTACAATAAATATTATGCAGTCATTTTGTAACTTGTAGATTTTGATTAATGTTGTCATCCCTTAGAAAGATGTTGAGACCAAGAGTGTATGTGTCCCTTTAAGAGAAGGAACATCGTGCATGCATTGCAATTTATTCAGGCCCTTCAACACCCCTCTTGGCTCTAAGATCTAGATGATCTCCGTTCTTACCTAACAGAGTGGCTCCGGGTCATTTTCCTACTGACACGTCTGGTATAAAAGTCTCCTTCTCTCATGGATACATTGAGGATCTCCAAGGAAGTTGAGTCTGACAGTTTTTGTATTTGAAGGTGTCTTTACTGCAGGTCCTGGTAGAACTGCCTCAGGAGCCAAGATGGATAAGTACAGAAGACACAGGTATTTCCTACTCTCTACCCAGGCCACGAGAAACAGCAGTGAGAAACAGCAATGAGGTCTCTGAGTTCTGCTGTGCAACTCGCTTAGGCAAAGGCAGGCTGTGACAGGCAGGGCCCAAAAGTGAGCCTCAGGGATCATCCCCTCAATGAGACCCCGCTGGGGGTGGGGGCAGGGTGGGGTGGAGACACAGCCGGATTCTCTCCCCAACAGTGTTTACTGTACTGATAGCAGCAGGAGTGGTCATCCCCTAATGTAAAACATTGGTGACCAAAGCAACAAGCCTTTCCCTCCCTGAAAAAAACAAAAAATTAAAACCTCAACGTGAACAAAAAAGTTTTCATAGGAAAACAGAGATTTTATATTGCACACTCCTTGTACTGGGAGATGGTGAGGGGCCCAACTAGAGAAGGGACCAGTTGTGTGGGACAGAATTGATCTCTGGTGGCCTCTGCCTGCAGCAGCTTAAAGCAGGGTTTCGGTTCGGCCAGAGGTTGAAGTCAGGCCTCGGCAGTGAGCATGCTGAATCCTAGCCACTAGGCCACCACCACCAGTGGCCAGTGACAAGGCCCTGGCCTGTCAGCTGTGTAGAAATGAATTTCCACATAGAGATGGAAAGTAGTGAAACAAGTAAAGTGTTTATTAGGATGAAAAAGTGTATGTGTGGATTGACACACGGGCGGGCGGGCTCAGAGGAGAGTCACGCCCTCGTGGTAGTTTGAATCACTTTTATGGGGCATTTCTGCCGGGTTTCCTTTGGCCAATCATCTTGCTTTGCCTCGTTCTGAGTCTGTATTTGGTACATCTCAGGGTCCTCCCATGAGTTGTGGGCACATCTCTGAGCCAAGGTGGATTCTAGCGAAGAGGCCTGTGGGAAGGTTGACATCACTTACTATGGGGCGGCACCCCCTCCCTTTTTGACCCAAGGAGCCTTTTCTGCACATGTGTAGTCAGGAAGGTCTCCTTGACCGAGAATGAGAATGAGGAATCTGTGGTCTTTTATCTCTTACCTGGGCGGGGCCCAGTCTTCTCTCTCGCTCCTGCTGTTATGGAGTTTCTGTCCACAGGGAAGAAACTTCAGCTGTTCAGCCTGGGGCCCATCTGTCTCCTGCCTCAGAACCAGCAGGCTTGAGTTCCAAAAGCCTTGAGTGGAGAGCATGAATATAAAGAGAGTCATTTCATACCTCCTTTCTGAGGATGCATCAATATTTTCACAAACAGGGCCTTTTCTCTGTGCCTAGCATAGTGGTGAATATATCATATTCATTACCCACTTAATACAGCACCCCTCGGGGGAGGCACTCTTATTACCCCTCATGTTTCAGTGAGGCTTAGAGTTTAAGTCCAAAGCTTCTGGCATTTAGATCTTTGAAAAACATGAAATGCACAGATATTACAAGAAGGCTGCAGGGTGCCGGGTATCTGAAGACCACTGAGCACAGGGGTAACTGCCACCTGCTAGTGTCTGATGAGGGGTCTGCTCTGTATCCAAGAGGGGAGTGGTTTGGGGGCCTCTTCTGGATCTTGCTAATTTTCCATTTTTCTAATTGCCAAAATAAGGACTGGGCCCTTTTATCACACTGCAGAGGACACCTTGCAACTCTGGATCAAATTGTTCTTTGAGTTTTGCATAAAAACTGCTTTCTAAAAATAGCATGCTTCCTCCAAAGATGAAATAGTCTTTGATACTGATTTAATGTTTTAAACCTTTAAATGGGAGGTTAATTAAAGATGCCGTTAAATAAACTAGTAGGGAATTGGTGAGCCTGGCCCCCATGAAGCCTTCCAAAAGCTGGGTCTTTGAGCTTCCAGGACCAGGACCTGCAGATCTGAGTGGGCAAAACTCAGGAGACACGAGGAGGTTGCCTCATACCTTCGTGAAACATCTGTAATGGGAGTCATGACAAATAGACTTAATGGTTATTAAATCGAAAACCATAATTTAGTTACCTATGAAAATAAGTATATATATGACTTTAAATCAATAGAAAGTTCTTTATGAGCGACATGGGTTGTACACTAAAAACCATGGATAAGCTAAAGGATTATATTTCTTTGAATAAAAAGTTTTAAAATTGTTCAGTTTATAAGATGATATTGAATCCAAACTTTTCTGACAATATTTAAAGTTTTATAAATAGTTTGTAACATCTACAGTTTCTTTTATTAAATTTTGTATTTTCAAATATACACAAAAGCTAGGATGATGATTCAATAACATTGGGTTCAACAATCAACCTTTGCCAATCTTAAGTGTTATTTTCCTCCACACTTTTCTTTTCTTGGTGTTTTTTAAGGCAAATCTCAGACATCATGATATTTCCTACATCAATTAAGGTTTTGAAAATATGCATGTTATAAATGGAAACTGTAGAAAAAGGAAGGGAAATGTCTTGCCAACAAGACAGGATTGAGGCTAGAAATAGGATGAATGTCCCATCTCTGGCTGTTTGCTTAAGGTCTGAAGTCAGCTCTGGATTGAGGCTAGAAATAGGATGAATGTCCCATCTCTGGCTGTTTGCTTAAGATCTGAAGTCAGCTCTGAGGAGGGAATGGGCTGAAGGTTTAGGGGTGATAAAACACTCTGACACTTGCTCTCATTTACTTAAAGGTCTTACAAAGAGTTTTGCATTTCACTAGGAGGAGCCCAGGTTTGCTTAGTTAATAGGACCCTGCTGGAAGGGGTTGCCTGGGAGCAGCTGGAGGCCCTGTTGGGCAGGCAATTGAGGCTAGAAATAGGATGAATGTCCCATCTCTGGCTGTTTGCTTAAGATCTGAAGTCAGCTCTGAGGAGGGAATGGGCTGAAGGTTTAGGGGTGATAAAACACTCTGACACTTGCTCTCATTTACTTAAAGGTCTTACAAAGAGTTTTGCATTTCACTAGGAGGAGCCCAGGTTTGCTTAGTTAATAGGACCCTGCTGGAAGGGGTTGCCTGGGAGCAGCTGGAGGCCCTGTGGTGGGCAGGCAGACCAACCCCCCTCCCCCATCCCACCCCTCCCCCCTTCCCCCTCCCCTGCCCTGTCTGGGGAAGATCCTCTTTCTTGTTATCAGTTGTAAACAGATAAGACTGGAGCCTGCCCACCCATCAGACTCCTTTTGAGCTGACATAAAGTGTGTGGGAATTGGGGTACCCTGTCTCAAGACTGGAGACCACCCCACCTCTATGTCTTCAGTACATCAAACAGTCACTGAGGAAAATGTTCAACAACAAATTAAGTGTGAGAGAATTCTCTGGGAGCAGGTCATTGATGTGTACTTATTGGGGTTTCCGGAAGCTCTTAAAACGTGCTTAGGCCACACCTCAGGCCCTCTGCTCAGAATCCCCAGGGCAGGGCAGAGCTAGCATCAGGATTTTTAAACCTGCCCAGGTGTTTCTAGTGTGCAGCCAAGCCTGGGACGTGTCCAAGTCCTCCTTGGCTGTGTGCTCCCTAGAATGGAAATGCTCAGCACAGCGCCTGGTGCACGGCACCACACAACAGTCAATGCCCTATCATACCGACTTTTCAGTGAGGAAATTGAGATTTAAGAAGTTAAGAAACCACCTTTGGGATAGATGACTAACAAACAGCTGTGCAGGGCCTTGAACCTGGGTTCATCTGATCTAAAATCTGTGTTTGATTCAAGTTGCTTTAGAATTATTGAGTGTTTAATGTAGACTAGGTATACTATACTCACTAGTTACACAGATTGCTTTGTTTTATTGTCATCACATCCTTAATGAGATAGGAAGGGGGCAGGGCACAGCCTTTAAAAGAATGACAGCCGTTGCGAACATGACATAAACTGGTTAGAACCAACTAGGTCCAACATGGTGGACGACTGACTTCCACTAGACCTTGAGTCTCAGTATACACTCATCATAATACATGAGCATCCTAAATGACACATCCACAGGTGCCATGAAAGTTCCCAGGCAGATCATAAAAGACCAAAAAGTGGACGGTGGCCCAATTCCTGGAAATCCCTGCCCCTTCCCCCAAAAAGTTGGAATAATCCTCCCACTTATTAGCCTATGAAATTACGCAGCCCTATAAAAGCTGACAACCCTGTACCCTGGTGCCACTCGCCTTCTGAGATGGCCCACACTCTGTCTGTGGAGTGTGTTTCTTCCTGAATAAACCTTCTTTCACTTTACTGTGGCTCGCTTTTCAATTCTTTCCTGCATGAAGCCAAGAACCCACACTCAGTGGCCGTCCCAGGGACTTGCCTGAGACCTGGCACGTGACCATCCTCTCGCGCCCCACTTTCTTTCCTGCAACATTATGACATCGATACTAATTTCTATATTTTGTAGGTGCGAAAAATGAGGTTTCAAGAGTTGAGGACTTGCACAGTGCCTCACAGCAGTGACCAGTCAGAGCCGAGCTAATGCTCCAAATCCTTCCTTTGTGCCCACCTGAACCCAGCTGAGGGACACAGCAGAGGAGAGTGGATGGAGAGACACTGCCCCCTCCTGCAGTAAGGGAGGGATTTAGAGAGCAGAAATCATGTACTGAGGTGGTCACAGGAAGGGGGAGGGCACTGACTGCTGGAGGGAAGGAGGCCGCAGGGGAATGACAGCAGGGACAAGGGTGGAAGGGCAGGAAGAGAGGGTGTGGGTGGAGACATTTGATGCAGGTCAGATGATGGGGAGCCTGGATGCTCTTCCCCGAATTCATGCAGACCTGAACAGGGATCAAGTGGGAGTTCAGAGAAAAGAAAAGTTAAATATGTTACACATATTTAACAACCAATGCCATTTTTCTCTGATTATGAAAAAATGTATTCTGATGTTAGTCAATTTGGGAAGTACAGAAAAACACGAAAGAGAAGGTAAAAATCACTCATATTGTCATTCCTCAGAAATGACTATTAGCTTTTTCATCCAAGTCCATTATTACCCTCCATGTAAAAACTGAGGCAAATGAGACAGAGTTTAAGACAGATTTTTGGAAAACATGAACTGTACACATATTAGGAGAAGCAGCCTGCAGAGTGCATGTGCAGTGTCTGAAGACCACTGAGTGCAGGAGTCCCTGCCACCTGCCAATGTGTCATAGTTTTAGGTTAATCCTAGGTGATTTTTATATTTTTATTTCATTGTAAATGGTATGTTTTTGTTATTTAACTTTTTGCTGCTTGTATTTAGGAATACAGTTGAGGTTTTTTTCTTCTTTTTTAATTTTGGTAAAATATATATAAACAGAAAAGTTTTAGCTCAGGCTGCTATAACAAAACCCCATAGGCTTAGGCTGGAAGGCTTAAACACCAGACATGTATTCCTCATAGTTCTGGAGGCTGGGAAATCCAAGATCAAGGTGCTAACAGAATCGGTTCCTGGTGAGGGCTCTCTTCCTGGCTTGCAGACAGTTGCCTTCTCACTGTGTCCTCACATGGCACAAAGGAAGGGCAGGAACTAAGCTCTCTGGTCTCTTCCCACCTTAAAGGTCCCACCATCATTACATGATCTGAACCTCCCAAAGACCCCATTTGTTTTGCTGAAAGACATACTTTCAACTTCAGGTTCAGAGGATTCACCAGCAAAATAACCACTCCACACATCAATAAGCAAGAAATAAGGAAATTTATTATATTAGTAGTAAGTTACAGTGTAAGGACCAGTTATATATATATATAGAGAGAGAAATAAATGTACATACATTACCAAATTGGGAAAAACAAGCATCACCAACCTGGGAGAATTTGCATCACCACGTTAGCAGAACAAGCAATATATAGAGAAAGAGATAAAAGCGCATACATCACCAACTGGGGAAACACCTACATCCAGATCCAAGCAATGTTGGGAAGTCCCTGGAACAGCAGCAATCTGGAGTCCCAATTGGGAAGGTCCCGGTCGGTGCATCCATCCAATGGGTGAGACTTCAGGGTGCCGCTCAAAGGAGTCGTGCTTTTCACGCCAAGCCGCAAGCCAGTAGTCATCAGCTTACATGCAAATATGCAGCTCTGGCTATTAGCATAAATGCTTTGATACTTTAGTTGTAAGTTTCAGAATGTTTGCTGATCCCTGGGAACTGGCCAGATTCCCAAGGTCCAGGAAGCTTCGTGACTTACTCCCTTTTTTATCTGTTGGTTCTCAAGACCTACTTTCACCGATTCAGCTGACCTGCACATAGTCCAGCAGTTCGGTATGGAGCTTCT